TCATAGGCCTGATAGGAAAAGGAATTTCCAGTATTCCTAAAAAATATTTCCAGATATTCCAAGAAAAGGAACAATTGAGAAGAACATGGTTCATAGATTCTGATTCTTGCTTACAAAATGGACACATGGTAGGGTAAACTGTCATCATGAACCTGCTTAAGCTCTCTGGGAAAGGAAGGATACTGTTGAGAATCTTCCATTGAAAAATCTGAACTTGAAGATGTTGATGTTTATTCCAGGCATAGCGAAAGGAGAAGGTAGCACTCGAGGTTCTCCTAATCTGCTGGAAAGCTGAAGCTAAGGAAAATTTGCCATTGCTTTCAGGTAACCATAGAAATTCCTCTTCTTGATTCTGGTCACAAAGTGATTGTCCCAACTCATGAATATGACAAATTCTCTTCCAAATAGTTGAGTCTGTAGGTTTAGGGACCATATTACTGCCCCTTGGGTATCTGTAATTGACTACAAATATGTTCAATTTGTTTAGCGTAATGACCATGAAAATATATTTATAGCAACTCTAGTCACATTTTATATAGGATTATTGGCTTATTTTATCTCAAACTATCATCAAATTCACAAATCTATCTTGTTCTTTCAGACTTATCAAAACAAGGCTCAAACTTCATCTTTTTAAACAATCATGCTTTTCTTTTTCTTTTTGTTTTTTCAAAATTACACATTCTTATCAATACCAATAAGATATAAGTAATTCAAAATTGTAAACTAAAAACTAGAAAGAAGTGAAAAGTATGAAATATAATTATGATTTTCTTCTTAAATTCTACCAATTCATCCATTGAAAGTGTAATTGTGAGAAAAATTGAAGTTCGAGACTTTTTTAATAAAAGTGAAAGTCTAGGATAGATTTGTGAATTTGATGATAGTAAATGATATATTTAGCTAATAATCCTTTTATCTATAAATATTATTTCGTAATATTTTTAAGAAACCTATGTTATTTATTTACATGCATCTTAAATAAAATATTAAGATAATTATCTTCTTTGGATTTGAATTGTTGATGATTTTGGAGACTATTATTTGTGTTATTATTTGCGATTTGTAGTTTTGATTAATTTTGTTTGAAAATAGGTGTTAAAATATAAAAGAACAATGAGATATTTCAAGTTCGGGCTTTAACCGACCCAACCCAAACCCGGGCTACCAAAAACCCGACTCGGACCGAATATAATGGGCTTTGTTCCGGTCCCTAATTTTCAAAACCCGAGACCTTCCGGGTAATTTCCGGGTTTAGCAAAAACCCGACCCGGACCGGACCGATTCCACCCCTAACCCTAGTACGGATTGTATGTGAAGCCCATTATACAGAAATAGTGAGTTAAGCCCATTAATTGGGAGTAACTGATAAGAGCCACTGGGCCTAACAGGGGGCCGCTACATGGAGCAGGAGCGGGATTCTAGCGAGGTCGGACTCACCCTAGGGCTTACATGGCAGACTATCTATTGTGTATAGCTATCTGGTAGCGGTATGAAATTAAAAGAAGAAACATGGACATAAAGGAGTAATAATTGCGGGATAATGAGATACGTTAGAGAAGTCCTATCATGATTAGACTATTAAGTGTACCGGTTATATCTCCTTAGACTACTGTAGCCCTACGTCTATATATACTTCTTGTACTTACCCTAAAAGAGATCCGCCTCCTGAATAATAAAAACCGCCTTTACGCTGCCTAAATACTCTATTCTCGTAGATTAGCTCTCGTAGTTGGAATTAAACTCCATATATCATTTGGTGCTCTCGTTGAAAGCCGGTTTACGACGAACACGATGGTTGGATGACATAGTCACAACCGTGGTGGCAGTAACCAAGGTGATGCTAGAATGAACCAAGTCATGATTAAGGACGAAGGGCCCCATTCAACTTGCAATGATTTTCGAAGGAGGAACGACAACGTGTGAGCACCAAGCGATTTGAGGAATCGTATTCATGTCATGGGGAGTTCCAATTAAGCACCCTACGACTTGTCCATCACAGTTCTGAACACCGGCGACATGGAATCTCATTCCAGGCGTGAATCCCGCACAAGCTCTGGCAAGTTTGGCTACATATCCTAAAGATGAAGAGTGAAGAAAAATACAAAGTATTTATATATATATATATATATATATATATATATATATATATATATTACAAGTAGTTCATTGTTCAGTTCAGTTCAGTTCACGGTTTTTCGGTTTTCAGTCAAACCAAACCAAACTATTTGATTTGAGTGCTACCCATACTTGTCCCACGATGATCAAGTAGGTACTACCCATACCAACGATGTACAGAGTACTAAATTAATCCATACTTTAGTTTTGTGTTAATAAAGAAAAAGAAGTCTACAATAAAAAAAAGTCTGGTCCGTACCTCTAAATGATTAAGAAAGTGCTATTTTTGAAAATGAAATTAATTTGGTGTACTTGCAGAGTTGCAGATAAATAGGGTGTTTGGAAGAGCAAAAATGGACTGACCAGGATGAAAATATGTATAAAAAAAATAGCTAAACACCCTTCAATGGACTGCTTTGGTTGATTCTTATTATCTATTAAAAAAGTGGCTTAATAGTTACTTTTTTTAAGTTGGTTATTATTGTTGTACAGTTCAAAGATTAAAAGACAACAATAACCAACACGTTTTCGTCGTAATCACTGAAGTCATGCTTAGCTCCATATTGGTCGTGCAGGCCTTCACAGGAAAAGAAAATTATTTATTTATGATTATACTTTGACCTGAGTTACGTGATCGGACATTCTTCTTGTTCTTCCTTGAGGGATTGCTTATGAATGACTTACATATTTGATATGTGACTACGTTTTGTTTTTTAAACTGTAGCATTTTTGTATAACAAAATAATACGCTTTATGGTATCCATACATTCAATCAGCCAGTTCACAAAATATATTATATAAAACACTTTCACTTCATGATTTCAATCTTTTCGATCATTGCAATCATTACCAAACAGGCCCAAAATCATGAAAGAAATCAAATCACTCCAATTCATCTCAAATTAACTTTCAATCACTCTTGTTGTAAATACTAAAAAATACGTAGTATTAAATTTTTCCTTTTAAGATAAAAATAGTAATGTTCCATACTACCTCCGTCTCACTAACATTAGAATATAAAGAGGTGACACAATCATTAAGAAACATGAGTTTATGTAGTTGATCTGATATTGAATTCATACATAAAAATTAAGCAATAACGATTTAATACCACATAATCTTAGTGGGACGGACCGAAATTCTACTTTTCGATTTCTAACCGAGTTCTAGTTTACGGTTTCTATTTGAGAAATTATCCTAAATAAGACTAAAAACGTTTGTGTATTCCAAAATAGGATTATTATATTTTTATTCTCTAAGTAAAAGTAATTAATGTCAAACTTTAGCAATATCAGACTATAAACATGACATTATTTTCTAAACTTGAGATTAATTACTCATATTTAGAGATATAAACCAGTGTTCTAAACGCAGAAAGGCGGCGCCTAGTCGAGCGTAATCATGAGGCGCAGCAATAACGCCTCGCATACCTACTAGGCGTGGGAAAAGGCGTTCAAATAGATTGAAACCTCATCCGAATTAAATTTTAACTAGTTGAGGAGGGCCCACCATATAGGCTTGCAAGGCTCCCGACGTACAAATTACTCGTCCAGTCGTCCCTGCGTATGAATTTATAGAGTTGGTAAAAGGTTGGATGCGCCTCTTCTTCCGGTGTGGGATACTACAGAAGGGAAGAACCGAGGCTTCAGTTTAGGAGCTTTGAAGTCAGGGGCGGATCTAGCATTGCCATTCAGGTGGGGCCAAATTTTAATTAAATAACGCGTATTGCAAAAAAAAATGACAAAATGTAGTAAAATACTACCTCCGTCCCTTAAAAATTTGTCATGTTTGAATTTACGGAGATTAATAAAATAAAAAACTGTATGATAGAGATTTGTGCAGAGGAGCGAGAATTAATTGGAACCACAGATTCTGTACTTAAAAGGGAAAGTTGTAAAGTTAGATGGACATCCAAAAAAGAAAAGTTAACAAAGTTTTAAGTGACGGGGAGTAGTATAATAAAATATGTTGCAACTTCAATCTCAAAGAAAAATAAATATAATAGGTGTGGGACATAGAGATTTTAGAAGAAAAATGAAATTTTCACTCTAATACCATTGAAAAGTAAACAAAATCATGCTCAACATGATCTTCGAACTTGGGACGTATAAGTTGGTGCGGGTCTCTTTCCATGTTGTTAACACGACATCTGTGTTCAAATTGACATTCTTTGTAATTATATCATTACTTAACAACAATATATATATAATATAACACCTATATATACTAGTAACTTTATTTTTTTTAGTGTGGGCCTAGGCCCGCCCTGACCTAGGCCCAGATCCGCCACTGTTTGAAGTCAAAATTACATTGCATTGTCAACTCATCCAATCATCCATTAAAACTATAATTAAAACTATATCCCATAACATAACTTAAAACTCTATCCCATAACATGAATTAGCTACACGATTTACTATCATTATTATTTTTATTACGTAGTATTATTTATCAATCAAGTTGGTTTTTCAATTCTTGTTTGTTCTTATTATTTAAAATAGTAAGTACACCTACTATTTTTGTTCTTGAGAAATTTATTTCTGTTGCGAATTTGAAGTGTGTTTTTTATGTGTTATATTTTTTATCTTCCAAAAAAAAGTGTAATGTTTTCTAAAAAAAGATTTACATGTTAAATATTATTTAATAAGATTTTTTTCTAAAATGTTATTAAAATCAAATATACTGATGAAAGATTGAAAGTATGACAAAAGTTACTATATAAGTATAAAATTATAGTCATTTAAATATAATAATTTAATATAAAAGTAGTCACTAAAAATTGATAATATAATGAGTACACTTAAGGAATCACTTTCTTGTTCATCATCTTTACTTTGCTGATAAGTATTCCTCATTGTAGTTTTAAGTAATGGCTCTAGAAAAACAAAATTATGAGTAAAAACTAAAACGTCTTTTCACGCCTAAACTCGCCTAGGCTTCAAAGGTTTCGGGCTTGGCCGTGCCGCCTCGACACGTCTTACGTCTTTTAGAACACTGATATAAACATGACACTCTTATTTTGATATATTTTTATTCCTATTCCGGGAATTCTCTTTCCATTTTCTTAACCTATGTGTCAAATGAAAATAGCAGTTAATTATAGGACGAAAAGATTATTATTATGTATATAAATTATAAAATCATATAACAATTGATATCACCATCAATTTTAGGCTCCCAATAACTTTATCCCAAAAATCTTGAGAGAAGTAAACTCGCATAAGTTGACTTAGATTACTAACTTTTGCTTGAAGAACACAAAACCAATGTAATTTGTGATATACTTCGTATTTAATCATTTTCAGTTGTAAAAACTCAAAAGTAAATTTAATTGCAACGATGAGAGTTATTTGATTAGAGTACTTAATAATCAAAAACCCTTCGCTGGATTGGTCCCCTCATACCATTGAATTTATGGTGTTGGGTGTTAATAAGTGGTACGAACTCTTTTCTATTCGCTTGAATTTTTATTTACTTTGGCTGGTTTTTCAGAGATGGTGTTTTGTAACATTCTTGTTCTTATAAGCAGTTGCTTCGGGTGTGGACCATGTGGTGATAAATCCTCACTGCCACCTTCTCCTCCGGAGGAAATAACGCCGTCGGCGGCGGCGGTTGCGGCGGAGGACATATCTCTTGCCACCTCTCCCAGGGTTTGCCTCAGTGATGGGAGGTACCTGGTTTACAGAGAAAGAGGAGTGCCCAAAAACAAATCCAATTACAGAGTCATTATTGCCCATGGCTTTGGCAGCAACAAACACATGAACTTCTTGGCTTCTGATGTAAGTACTGTTTTAATCATGATTCATACTCTCATTCTCAAAGTTTCTTTCATTTGTAGCTTAAAAAACATTTTTTGGATCCAACAAATTAGGACTAAATTTGTCTGTTGGAATAGATTATTTCCTCAAATATTCGAATCCATTGCTCATTCCAGCTAAGTTTATATATTTATATTGAACAAAGAGATGTAAACCAAATTGATCTAATACTCCCTACCCATAGCCCATAGGTTTGCTAGTTTGCAAATTAACTTCAAGGTCCTATGATTTTAAACTTTGATTTTTAAAATAGTAGTTAGTACACGCTACAACCCAATTTAATGTTTTTCATTTGGTTTATGATGACATATTTAACACTAATTACAGAATACTGAAAAAATAGATGTAAAATAAGTAGATCTGAAATGAATATACTCCACAGATCGCTCGAAATGTTCAAACTCTGACTAAAAAGTCTCTCAATTTGTTAGTTTTGAAATTAATTTCAAGGTTCTGAGAATGATCAGCAAATAGCAGGGATGCAGACAATTCTAACTTCGTTTTTTGAAATAGTACAAACAGATTTAAGTCTCTAAGATGACTAGTGAACAGCAAAATTAACTTTTCCTAACATATTGAGAAACTACGTTATAAATTTATTGAGTTGCGAAAACCGAATTCCAATATGGCGAAAATTTATTATACAAAATCAGATCATAAAAGAGATTTAAGTTGATTGAGTGTATAATGCATGACAATCTAAAACTGTGCTAAGAGAGTATTTGACAGAGAAGAAAATGTGTTTCTGCATATAAGCTAAAATAGCTCCATCAGTATTACTAGCCTGCATTTTTGTTCTTCTTTGTCGTGCCAGTCACTTAAGGACCTTAAATTTCCTATTGAATTGTATTCACAGACACTCTGAATATGGAATGCACTAATATTGATGTAGTTGGACAGGAATTACTTGAGGAATTGGGCATATACCTCTTGATATATGATCGAGCTGGATATGGAGAGAGCGATCCCAACCCAAAGCGCTCTTTATTCAGTGAAGCTTCTGATATTAAAGAGCTAGCTGATCTGATCCAGTTAGGATCCAAATTCTATTTAATAGGTGTCTCCCTTGGATGTTACCCTGCCTGGAGTTTCCTCAAACACATGCCTCAAAGGTATTACAAAGGGAGTGTTTCTGATTGCTTCTGTTCACGAAAAGTGACTTATTTTAAGAGATAACACATAAAGTTTTGTAAAAGTAGGTACTATTGAAAATAGAAGTGATTTTGAACTAGTAGAACTTTGAGCGGTTGGTGAAAAATGCTTTTATTTTTTATGGCAAAAAAGCTGAAAAAGGTTTTTAAGCTGAACAGTCTGTCTAGCTTTTAATTAAAGTCAAGTCTATTATAGTGTGTTCTGGTCTTGTCCAATGTGTTCCAGTTTCATACTATTTGCATTTTATTAGTACGGAGTACTATTTAATAAACTGCTCCGATTTAGTGTGATATGTTTAAGTCTGAGTTGATAACTCAAATCCGGTATGAAATTGTACACTGGACAAGTCCTTAATCGGCTTATTCCATCGGTTGATAAAGATCTCTAATTTCACATCCTCTTTAAGTGTGTTAAAAAAACTATTTCAACTTCTGTAATATGCACCTGCAGGCTTGCTGGCGTAGCTCTAGTTGTGCCTTTCATCAACTACAATTGGAAATCACTTCCGGATTATATGGCAAAGGATGATTACAGAAAACCACTAAGCCAGTGGGTTATTTTACTAATTCGTTGTGCCCCGGCCTTGTTACACTGGTGGTTCACACAGAAATTGTTCCCTTCAGCTACTGTTCTTGATAAAAACCCTGCATTCTTTTGTGACAAAGACATGGAGGTGTTGAAAAGTGCACAAGGATATAAGCTTTTCGCTCAGGTTATTTCACGCTTTGTATTTGTGTTCTAATTAAGCATTTAAAGGCATACATACTACATCCACTCAAATAAGAAAATGCATTAAAAACTAGACTTTGTTTTAGGATGAAATCTCATATCTTTAATAAAACAAACCCGTAAAATCACTAAGAGCTAACAAACAAACCAGTAAAATCACTAGGAGCTAACAAGCCAAATGTTTTTGACACAACATTTTTTCCTTTCCTTTGGTAGGACGGATTGAGAAGTCGAGTTGTGTTTGACTCCCTTACACGGGATATTAAAGTGGCATTTGGGAAGTGGGATTTCGATCCATTGGAGCTGAGTGATCCATATGCAAAAAGCGAGAGTAATGTTCATATCTGGCAAGGTTGTATGGACAAGGTTGTTCCAGTTGAATTACAAAGATATGTGTCGAAAAGGCTCCCATGGATCCGGTATCATGAAGTTCCAGATGGAGGGCATTTGCTTGTATATGATAGTGCAGTGTGTGAGGCGGTGCTGAGATCTCTTTTGCTTGGTGAAGATCTTCCAATGTATATGCCTGACTTTGGCAATTAACAACTCATATTCATTCATTCTTCTCCATTATTGATCAAAATGTATTCCTTGCAAGAATACAAGTAATACATAGTGCATATAAATTGATTTTTCCAAAAGTCATAGCTGTGAACTTAATCCATTAGGACCTCTCATCGAACTATTTTTACAAATGATACTTTCACCTAGGCCTGGACTCGGGCCGGGTGGCCCGGCACTGTTCCGGCCCGGACCGGCACTGTTCCGGCCCGAACCGGCACTGTTCCGGCCCGACCCAGTGGCCCGGTCAGTGACCGGTCCGGGTAGGCCCGACCCGTGTGGGTTCCGGTCCGGGCTCGGGCCCCCCAAATCATGAACCGACCCGGCCGGTTCGGGCCCGGTTCCGGGCCTTTTTAATTTTTTTTTCCAATTTTTTTTACTTTTCGAGTTGGGCTGGGTATTTTGGGCCATTTGGGGTGGTTTGGGGTGGTTTGGGGGTAGGGGGGGGGGGGGGTTGGGGTTAACTAGGGAAAGGGAAAAAAAATTTAGCAAAGGCCCGAGGCCCGGGCCGGTTCTAGCCCCCCATTCCAGAACCGCCGGCCCGGCCGGGCCTAGGCCCGTCCCGGGCCCGAACCGGCCCGAGTCCAGCCCTACTTTCACCCATACAGAGTACACAACCTACACGGTATTAGATCAATATTCTTTATTTTACAAATGATAGTCACAAAGAAAAAAACACAAAAACGAAATGGATAGAAGTTTATGACACAACCTACACGGCTACACCATCCCAATGTTCTTGTTTTTTAAAAGGAAAAGTGATCTTTATTAAAATACCAATCGGATCAAAAGTTACAACCGGGTAATAATTCAAAATTCATCCTAATTAGAGCGCATTTGAGATTTGTATTTGAATGAAGACTATAAGATATAAGCTAATCCCTCTGTCACGTAGAAATTAAGGTTCCCACGCGGTTTACATATTTGAGTGATCATAAAGTTAATTGATCCTTGTCCGTAATTAGATTCGTTTTAATATATATATAAAATTTACATATTCAAAAATTACATTAAAAATTTTACATATTCACAAAAGAAAAACTCAAATTTGATAAAAGTTGGATATTAAAGTTAAAGATTAGGAAGACTTTATGTTGACCGGAGAATAGTGGACGGGAACCTTTGAATGAGACGAAGGTAGTAATTATTTGGGATGAAGTTCCAATGCTTCACAAGTTTTGTTTTGAAGCTTTAGACAGAAGGATGAGAGATATTTTGAGATCTACTAATCCAAATAGCACTAGGTTGCCAGTGGGAGGGAAGAGGGGAAGACCATGGTTTTTAGTGGTGACTTCGGTTATATATTACCTGTGATTCCCCAAGGAAGTAGGCAAGATGACATTAATGCTATGATTAACTCTTCGTATTTGTGGTCAGACTGTGCAGTTTTGAAATTGATCATGATCACGTGATTGCAAAATATATCGAATCGTGAGGAATCACATGTCTTGAAATCTTTTCTGATGGGATAGCAAGCTTAGGTGATGGAATTGTTGCTAACATACTAATCAGGGTTTTGTTTCCAATCCTATTCATGAGGATATTCGAATTCATACTTCTTGTGATCTAATAGCTGCAATTGTTGAGAGTAATATTCATAGTTTCATAAGTCACCATCAAGTTTAACTTTTTGCAAGATCGTGCAATTCTTGCACCAACACTGAGTGTGGTGGACCGTGGACTCCATTAATGAATATATGAAAAATCTCAATGAAGGGGAAGTTGCGAGAACATATCTTAGTTCATATAGTTCATTCTTGAGCGGAAAATTCTAACAAGGACTAGTGCAAGACAAAATGTTCTTATTTCGACTTTCTTAACACATTTTGACGTAAGATTGCCAGGCAAGTTCCAATGTCGACAATATCCAATAATGACGTCAAGAACAATCATTGTCTCATATTGGTTTGTTGTTAAGAAAAACAGTTTTTAGTCACGAACAATTTTATATTGCTGCATCACGAATAACAAATCATAAGGAGCTGAAGATTTTGATTTCAAATAAAGATGGAAGTGCAAGTGATATGACAATGAATGTTGTCTACAAAGAAGTGTATTAGAACCTTTAATATATTATGTAGTTTTTGTGCGAATATCAATTGGATGTCAAAAAACACCAGTACACGCTCAAAGATTACAATATATTTAAGATACAATTATAGTAAATGTACGTTACAAAATGATTACCTTCTAAATATAGTGATTATAATAATAACTTAGTTATAGTAACTTATGTTCAACTTTACACTTAAGTGACTACGAGATTATGCTATAGTAACTATTTAGTCATATTTTTGAAAATAAGTTTTATTTTAGTAGTAGTAATTTTGGGAAAAACTCTATATTTAATCTATGTGTTATTTGTTGGTCCTTACATTCAATCAATTATCATAAAATGTTTAATTAGTTCATTGATATGAGAAATTCGTTTAATCGGCTGAATATGCTAAAATTGATAAAGTTCTTGTTGAAGCAACAGAATTGACTAAATTTACTTAAATATGGAAAATTATGTTTAAAATATAAATTACTAAGAAAATAAAGAAAAATGGCTATTGGCCCTAAATAATACTAATATTAATCCTAAATGCAACAATAGGACTACAAGCTTTTTATTATAAAAATAGGGGTAATATAAATCTCATCTTCCTATTCTACCTCTTTCCCATAATCATATCCCTAATACATTTATTTTGTTACTGAGAAAATCATAATATTATTTATAATAAAAATTTAAAATAAAAAATAATTAATAATAAAAACATGAAAAAATAAAATAAAATAACTTAAAAAATTTAAAACTTTGAAAAATCATAAAAACTAAAATAAAATACGTAAAAAAAATTGTAGGCCTATGTGGTCGCACCCTCTACCTTCCAGCACCACCAGCTTCGATCACTGTGAAAATGGCATCTTGTGTAAAAAAATGTCATATACCTTTGATAGTACCATAAAGATGACATTTTTAGTCTTTGAAAATATCAAGTCTTCTTTTCAAAATTGTGACCACGATGATTTATTTTTTGCAAGTTGAATTTTTTCCCGTCTATCGGAGGTGGCGGTACTGGAAGGTGGCAGAGGTAATGGTTGAGGCCTATATGTTTTTTTACGTTTTTGAGTTTTGTTTTTTTTTATGTTTTATTATTATGGAGTATTATTTAAAAAATATCACCAAGCATGACAAGGGAAAAGGTAGAATAGGAAAAACTATTCTTTTTTAAGAAATTAAACTTTATGCCCCTATTTTTGCACTTTTACTTTTATTTATCTCTGTTTAGACAACTGTCCCAAGAAAAAATTATTATGCCTCTGGTTGAGGCCTGTATATTTTTTTTTTATGTTTTTGAGTTTTGTATTCTTATGTTTTATTATTATGGAGTATTATTTAAAAAATTTCACCAAGCCCACAAGGGAAAAGGTAGAATAGGAAAAACTATTCTTTTTTAAGAAATTAAACTTTTACTTTTATTTATTTCTGTTTAGACAACTGTCCCAAGAAAAAATTATATGAAAAAAAGATAAAATGGTCCTACAGTAACTTCAGCCAATTCATCTAGAATAGTAATTTCAACTTTACTTATTTTGATTATTAGACAATCTAACATGTGAAATCAAAAGTTACACATTTGATGAAAAAAAAGTTTCTTTATAAGACTGATAAGCCGAAAAATATGATCCGCTAGCGGCCCATAATTAATTGAGTAATTTTTGTTGTATCCAAAATTTGTACATTTTTTGTACACAACCTGTTACACAGGCAGTGACATAGTATTACTGATTTTGTTAGACGAACTGCATGTGTACACAAGCAAATAGGGGTTCTCTATTAAAAATATAAAAAATTTGTACTACCTCCATCCTGAAAAGGTTCGTTATGTTGACTTTTCTTGGTAAATGATGTCAAACTTTGGACAATAATTTTATTTATGATATATGTATATAAGTTATAAATTTTATACTCTTATGAAAATATTTTGAATAAGAAATATTTTGATATAATTTTCATATTTCAAATATTCTCATATTAAAAAATATCATTGGTCAAAATTAAATATCATTCATCAACCAAAGTGAATTTGACAACATTTTGGGGAGATGTATATGAATGTAATGTAATTTTCTCAATTAAATTACCTGAACGACTGGGCACGTGTGAATTCGTAATTTGGTCAAACTGAACGCTTCTACTAGAAATGTTACGAATCATTTGCGTCCCAAACACTCCCAGCACACAGACTGAACTCGGAGGCCAAGCAAAACCCAAAAGCCATAGCCCATAGATCACTTTGGCCACCCCCTTCTTTAAATCTCCGCTGAGACTAAGCATTTGACCTTGCTTCGACTTCTCCGCTCACGCCTCATTTCCCCATCCCCGAAGTCCTGTCTTTGATTCCCAGATAGAATCCAATTTTTGGGTATGTTTTTTCTTTTTATTCACTCACCTTCACCAACGATTGATGCTAACTTTAGCAGTTTATTTGATTCATTGATTATGATTCTACCTTGCACTTCTGTTGTTTTTCCTTCCAATGAAGCCATACTCGTTCCTTGTTTTAGGCTCTTGGGATTTAGTGATTTGTGATTAAAGCATGAATTTTGATGCCTGCCATGATTAATGATTGTGATTTTGTGAATCAAGATTGTATTTTGTATCGAATAAGCATGCTGCATGCGACCCTTTTTTGAATTTGTATAATTTGCTGTTATAGACTGGAGAATGGTAATTGTGTTTTATCATTCTAGTGATTGCAGGGGCAAACTATCGTTCTTCATTGTCCAATCTTCATGTGTTAGCTTAAATCTCAATCTGTTTGAATTCTCAGTGTAATGTTCATTGCATTTTAACAATTTAATGCCCTGTGTATGTGAGCTTCAAATGAATACTTTAAAAGCTTTAGAAAGTCCAATGCCAAACACAGGATATATGTCCCGGAAATGAAATCTCTTGAGAATAATGATAATAATAGTAGTATAGTTTGACTACCAAACAAGAATGTCATTTTTATCTAAATCAGCTTTATTTGCTCTGTGTTTTGTGAATTAAGCGTTATATTATACACAGAGCAACTTAATACTTAAGAACACAATTATTAGATCATTACGGAGTAAAACATGTTAAAAATGTAAAAATAGGAGTGAAAGTTTAAAAATACCTAACTTGAGTCACTAGTTGTGATTGGACAAAAATACCCTTCCAGGGGTTTGGGCTAGGCAATATTTGCCTATACATCTATTTTACACATAAAGACTTGTAAAACATTTTATTATCAACTACAAAACAATTATCCAGTAAGTGATGTTTTGAGGTAGAAGCCCAGTAAGTGGTCCATTCCACTAGGCTTGAAAGTAGAAAGCTAACTAAATAATAAAAAGAAACCTAATGCAGATTTAAATCCATGTCATGGTATTGTTGTTCAGGAAGACTATCTGATAGCTCTTATTGTAATCTTGCATTTACTTAGGGAACGCCCGTTCACTTGACTTGCTTTGATTCTTGACCCTATCAGACCAGAGAAGTAGACCCATCCCAGTGTTGTCACTCCTGGATAACGGAGCGGAATGGTCTACCACGAAAACACTAGCGATGTAGGCTATTTGGGTAACTTTTATACTACGTATATAATACAAGATTATTGTATACAATGACACTGACAATGACAATGACAATGACAAATATCACTCAAAATCACAAACTTCATGACATTCAGATTAGAATCTTTCTAACTATTCCACTTCTAATCGTGATAAAGACAATCTCATTTGGCCTCTAACAAGGCAAGGCCGTAGGCTCCATACCAAACAAGCTTCAAGACTAGTGGCAGATGACTAAGAAGACTTGAAAGTAAACGAAGAAACGTAGTGGTCGAAAGTAGTTGAATAAACAAGGTCTTTGGCTTTCATGAACATTTGTCTGATTTGATGTGTAGTTTTTGAGCCACGACGCTGGTCAAGAACGTTTTTAGAATGCTGGGATGGGTTTATGTACTTGGAAATGTTTTATTGGGGTTAATTTTTATTCTAAAAATCATGCTTTTTAGTTCTTACCCCTTTACAAAATTTAAAAACCAACTCAGAAATTCAAAGATTCAGCTATAGTGCCTGCAACAGTGGCCCCTATGTCAGCCAAAGTCGAAAGCTTGTTTACAGAGGCTCGAGTAGCGCTGCTCTGCTCCACTACACCAGTAACACCACTATAGCGTGCTATTGGTTTCATTGATCCAACCAAATAAGACTTAAACAGACTTGAACAGATTGGACCACAATAGACATGTTGGACAACAATGTACGAAACTCTAAAAGCAATCAAACACACATAATATCATACTACTTCAAACCAAACAAGGCTTGATTTAAATAGATCATGAGACTGTTTTAGAACATTCCGCTAAATATCAGTCTAAATGATTGTTCCTTAATTTCATAGTTCGGGTCCTTTCTTTTGTATCTAGCCCTGGTATCTGTGATTCTGCAGTTGGGCAAATGGGACTGTAATTTTAAGCCCAACATTTCAGGGGCTCCTATTATCTATTATGTATGTAGTATGTTTTTATCTCGGAAAAATGGGTACAATGAGATTTTATGCATATTTTGCTCAGGCCTAGAGTGAATGGCCTGAGTTATGCCTTGGAGTTGGAGCCTGGTGCATCTAAAATGACTAGACAGAGTGAATGAGTGAATGACATTCATATATTTTCAGGTGACCATGCCCACAGCAAAACTTCCACCTACTTGCATGTTCACAATTGCATCTCCCAGCCAACCAAAGATTGCATTTTTCAAGAACCCATCATCCCCAAGATCATTGCAAAGGACAGTCTCTATATCATTTGGTGGCATGAGAGCTGACCGTTTCAGAGCAAATGCTACATACAAAGTCAGATTGGTGGGTCCAGATGGCAAAGAGACTGCCTTTGATGCCCCTGATAATACTTACATTCTTGATGCAGCCGAGGAAGCAGGAATAGATTTGCCTTATTCTTGTAGGGCTGGTGCATGCTCCACCTGTGCAGGAAAGGTCGTCTCCGGGAAAGTTGACCAATCTGACGGGTCTTTCCTTGATGATGCCCAAATGGAAGCGGGGTACGTGTTGACATGTGTTGCGTACCCGACTTCAGATTGTGTGATTCACACCCATAAGGATAGTGATCTTTACTAGGAGATATGACTCATTAGGGTGTTTCCTTGTTCTGCTAAATGCTTGATCTTGGAGAAGCATTCAATTCTGCGTTGTTCCCTCAACTTGGTTCAAGTGAGTCTATGTAATGCCACCCTAATCTTTTGTAGCATAATGTTATTCATGAGAACAATTAGAGTACGAAATTATGTGTTCTATGTTGAACCGTGTTATTTTTGGTCGTAACTCTTCTGTCCAAACCCTTGGATGACCCATCTCTCAGGTTACTGGTCTTCGACAATCCACCTCCATCGCCTTGCCAGTTGCCACCCGTCCCCGACATTCTCTAAACTCCGGTGACCGCTTGTTTCAGTTAGATTGTGGAGACTAAAAAAGAAAACACATCATTATCTTTTCCCGCCTTGTTCAAATTCACTAGTGAAACGTAAAATTAATATCTAAATTTAGAACGTGTCCGAAGTCAAGGTATTCGGTCCAGTTTATAAGGGTTGAATGTTGATAAAATCAACATTTTGATAATATAAGAATTAGTATTCACACATGATGTAGTTTAGCATATAAATGGCATGCTATTCCAAATGCCCTCTTTGGTCGATAGCAAAGGTGGTCTTATTTTGTTGCCATCAACTTTTGCAAAGATGGAGAAAGTAAAACAGACTTTCAAGGAATAAGAATAAAGCAACTTCTGTGCTTCCTCCTTTGCCTACCCCAAGTCCCCAACGTGCGAAAAAGAACATTTTTAGGCTAAAGCCACCACAATTAAAAATATTGTAAAGGATTGTTGGACAAGATGGGGAAAACGGTATTGAGTTTGATATTTTGATTGTGACATAAACGCTGAATGCTTTTTCAAATTTGATTATTTTAGCCCTAAAATAACTCAGAGTCTTAACTTTTATGATCGAACTGCACGAATTGAACTCAAGAACATTTGAACTCATCAAATGAAACTACAATTTAGAGCCGTGAACCCTTTTTTCAACTTATGAAGTTTATAAGTCAGTTTTTTCACCAAACATATAACTTTTGATTTCGCAGGCTGAATTGTGTAATAATAATAATAAGAAAAACTAAGGTTGAAGTTACTTTTCTGCCTGTATTGGCTGAAATTACTGTAGAGGATCATTTAAACTATTTTTTCACATATTTTTTGCTGTATTTATTAACCAAATATTTTAAATACAATTTTTTCATAAATCAGCACAATCAGTCAATGCAATCACTTCAGCCAAAACTTCATAAGTTTCAGCAAAATTAGCCAATTCAGCCAATTTCAGTGTTACCAAACGAGCTCTTAATATTTAAATACTTAGATTCACTAGCAAAGTAAATTAGCAGATTCCAAAAAAAATATTTGGTAATTTAATTGTTTTGTGGCAACAATGAGTATAAAATGTCTTGTTTCAAAATGCTAACCCAAAATGATGCTATTTCAACGGTTTGTAGCATTCTCAAAAAGAAAAGGCGTATGAAAAACCGGATCTCAATCTAAAGCGGCCGTCTCTAGGGTTGATCCGTAGGTATTTCTTCTGGCGGTAACGGCAGTCACCTGGTCCGGTCTTCCTTCTTCTTGTAGTAGCGAGTGATCTAGGAGCAGATTTCAACAGCGCAGCGAGTCTCCGAACATCGCTAAGGGCGCAAATCGGGCAGAGTTGTGTGCGGAATCGATTACCAATTGATGAGGGCAGCTTCCAAACCACCAATCCAGAACAAGGTGATGGCAGGAGTGCAGCGGCGAACAGGAGGGCTAATCGGAAAAGGTAGATGCTCCGTCAGAGATGGTTGGACAGTGAGCACGACGAATGGGAGGCATGGCAAGAGGAATCTACTCCGATTGATTGATGCTTCGATCCACTCCGCGTCAACAATCATAGCGGGTATCCGGCCTCCTCCTGAACCACCGTCAGGGGTTGAACGAGGTGCTAGGTTTCAAGAATTTTATTTTTCTTCTTTAGATTTTTTCATGTTTCGTTTTTTTTTTGGATTTTTACGCTGTTATGGTTGTGCTTTTTCCGGCAAGAAAACTCTAGAACCTAGGACAGGTGATGAGAAGTTTGATTTGCAAATCATTGGCTCAGTTAAGCCCAAAGCGGGATCATCGAATCTAATTGCTTCTACGGGGGTGATTGATTCTAAGTCAGGTTCTAGGACGGACGACTGAAGGAAGACTTTTTGTCATTTTGTAACCTGCTTATGTTCTGTTATCATAATTTAAGTCACCTTCTTCCAAAAAAAAAAACGGTTTGTAGCATTCTCAATTCAGTGGCCCTTATAGTATCATTTTTACTTCTTGAAAACGCTAAACATTATCAAAATCGCTATTTTTTGTTGAAAAGTCATTTTCTAAACACCCCCAAATTATTATACTATGTCAAAAACTTATACTTTTATTCCTAAGAAGCTTTAACTTTAAAATACTTAAATTTGAGTAGAAGCAAAAGTTTAATAAGCGTTACATATAGTTTTTTAGAGCACAATATATAAGTGCGGGTTTTTTACAAAAATATTACTAAAATAATACTTATTTACACAAATATGATTAATAGTTAAATTACTACAATGTAGTGTCATGGTAACTTAAGTACTCCCTCCATCCCATAAAATTGTTCCCGCATTGACTTAGATCGGAGTTTAAGAAAGTGAGAATAAAGTGGAAATGTATGGTTGTGGTTGTGTAAGAAAAAGGTAAATGAATGTGAGCCACGTAAAACTTTCCAAAAGGAGAAATGACAACTATTTTTTGGGACGGTTCAAAAAGGAAACCGGGAACTATTTTGCGGAACGGAGGGAGTATAAAATTTAAACATAAGTTGCTATTATTTCATTACAACTCTAGTCACTAGTCACATTTTTGTAAACAATCTTTATTTTAGTCATAAATATGTAATTATTATTATTTTTGAAATAAAAACGAGGACAATATGAAATGGTATCTCCGTCACTTAAAATTTGGTCAAGTTTGTTAAGCATTTGCCTCACATCTCAAAACTATAAAACAATAAATTAGTTCTCATATCATGTTAACTTTTTAGAATAGAACCTCGGGTCTTAACATTATATCAAAGTCAAGTCAGATGGTAGTTTGAGTGCTTGTTTAGTACTCATGATTAAGGGTAAATTGTTAGAAGTACGTTTGTCTCATTTGTACAGCTCGATATTGTCCAACCCAGATCGGACTGAGGGGGCTTGTCAAAGTATTTGTTTCACTCCCGGAAAGCTTTAAATCAACAAAACACTATACAAGACTTTGGACTATTTCTCCTATCATGTTGACCTTTTAGGACTTTGGGCCACTTCTCATATCAATTGTTGGCAAGCTTGTATTCTAATACCTAAAAACTGTATATATGAGAGAGAAAATTCTCTCGCTCAACTATTAACAAGTTTATCTTGTCATATCTAAAAACACTACATGTGAAAGTGAGAATTCTCCCGTTCAATTGTTAGTCGGCTTATGTTATACGAGTACCTAAAAGCACTACATATGGGAGAGAGAAAATCGCGCTCAATTATTAGCCGGTTTATCTTACACTTAAAAAGTTCTCTCACTCAATTGTTTGCACTACTTATGAGAGCGAAATTTATCGCGCTCAATTGTTAGACGTCTTATCTTATACTTCAAAGAACTACATATGAAAGAGAAAGTTATCTTGCTTCATTTCCCCGCTCAATTGTTAGCAAGATTGTTTTCTAATACCTAAAAATACTACATATGAGAGAGAAAATTCTCCCGCTCAAATATTAGCAAGCTTGTTTTCTTATACCTAAAATCCTAACATATGAGAGAGAAAGTTCTCCCGCTTAATTGTTAGTCAGATTACCTTAGCTTATACCTTAAAGCACTACATGTGAGAGAGAAATTCTTCCGCTCAATTGTAGTCGACTTATCTAATATTGTATTTAAAAGAACTATATATGAGAGATAAAGTTAATAAATAAAATATAGTCATAGTAAAACATGTGAATATTGCAAAACTCAAAATGTTGAATATATTTAAGAATGATGATAGTATATAGAATGTTATTGAGGTTTCTTTGGGTGAGCAAATGATGGGGAATTTGTATTAGGAATTTAGAAATAAAACTCTAGAACGAGGTAACAATTAAATGAGTTTTTTCTAAAATAATGTTAAAGAAAAAAATAATTTTGTTGATGTAAATTTAAACACAATTGTGGTTATTAAAAGTTAATAAGTCATAGGTTATCCACTATTCTTACTTTGATCATATATTAGCAATCAATTCTTTATTTAATATGGAATAATCTGTATTGGGGTTGGAAAATAAGAAGGTTGTTTAATAAATCTTCATATTTAAAATAATGATTTCCAAATTTCTCTCTCTAGACTGGCTCTCCATCGCTAGGATTTTCTCTCCGCTATCAACATTGTCTAGGAGTGGCCACTAGAGGCAGTTATCTAACATTCCGTAGGCGTTGTTGACGGCGAGCGATCGCGAAGGGCAGAGTGCGGAGGAGGCTAGCGTTGGCAGCAACGTCGAGGTCTTTTTCCAGCGGGAAGAAGGGCGGAGAACGTGGAGGGTGTCTATGGGTTCCGATCAGTTCAGGAGTAGGTAGTCTCTAATGGAATCAATTGTCAATCAATACAAGAACATGGCAATAGGGGGGATTCCGAGGAGCTGAATTTGGATGACGACGAATTCGAAGAACAAATAGTGGAGGAGAAGGGCTGAGCTTTCCGGTTGTGGGTACTCTTCTGACTCATAGGAAGATCAAATTTCTGATTTTCAAGGAGCTTATGGCTTCGCTGTGGAGACCAACAAAAGGTGTGTCGATCAAAGAAATAGGCGACAAGAGGTATCTTTTTACTTTCTATCATATTGTGGATATGAAACGTGTTTTAGAGGGCGGCCCGTGGTTGTTTGAAAGAAAATTGTTGATCCTGAAAGAGGTGAGGCTGGAGGACATTCCGCTCAAGATCAGTCTCAATGAGTTCTGGATACATGTTCATAATATTCCATATAATTTCATGAATCGAGAAACTGCTAGAAGAATTGGTAATTTCATTGGTAAATTTGTTAGCTATGATGAAAATCGATTTGATGAAAAGTGAGAAGCTCATTTGAGAGTTAGGGTCTGTATGGATGTGGAAAAACCTCTAAAAAGGGAACAACCCTTAAGAAAGGAGGGATTAGCCACTAGGTAGATTTCAAGTGTGAGAAGCTACCCAATTTTTGTTTTATCTGTGGAATTATTGGCTATTCTGATAAATTTTGTCCATTGACATGTGAGATAACCTGTTTTTGAAAAAAAAAACATTTGGAAAGAAAACAGAAACTTGGCAGTTTTTCATATAAAAAAATGACACAGTAGTTTATTCCTTCTTCGTTTTTCAAGATTAATTTCCATTTCAGTGGTTTACCGATATCCAGCCCAGGGGTGGAGACAGGGAGGGGCTGGAGGTGGCCATGGCCCCTGCAAGAAAAAAAAATCCTAAGTATATATTATATAATATATATAAATACTTTTAATCTGTAGAAAGTATGTTGATATTTTAAACTTTGGCCCCTGCAATGTAAAATTGTTAAGGACCGGCCCCTTTAACCCTAAATGTCTCGCTCCGCCACTGATCCAGCCTAACCCGAATTCTCATGAATGGGTTCCATTTCACAGAAAAGTTGTGTTCATCCACCTTGATAAATTCACCCATAAAGTTACCAATTCTTTCAGCATTAGGCATAGTAAAATAATCAACTGGCATATCATGAATCTGTACCCAGAAATCTACCTTATTCAAGGGGAGAGCCAAGGGTATGTCTCCTTTTTTCAGCTTACTCAGAATGACCAAGTTTTGATCATAGATCCAGGGGAAAAGTGTCAAATAGGTTCCCTACTAATACGAAAAAGTCAATTAAGCCCCGAACTCAAAAAAACACCCAATCAAACCCACGAACTATAAAAAAAACGAGGCAAAACAGCCCTTTTAGCATGTAATTAACTGGTTCCCAGTTCCATTAGTCCATGTGTTGCCATTTGTGGCCACCTGTCGGCTCCCTAGATCCAGGGTCTTTCCTCAGCAACCCTAGTCATATCAATCACATCATAAAATTGGAATAAATAACGTCTAGATCCTATTTCCGTTATCGTGACGCCTTTCTCGGGTTTTCAAATTGAGGCCATAATATCACGAAAATTAGTGAATCTTACGGTTTTCTCCGAAGTAGTTGTGCCTACCAGGGATAAATTCGCACATGATGAAGCCGGGGCCACTGATTCCACCTCTAGGACATCGTTTTCTTCTTCCATATCCAATTGTCCATACGCTTGCGCCAGGGATTCCATCTCTGTCTGATTGTATTCGGTTCCCATCACTGGAGATATGCTCGCTACCGCGATTAATCTTTGCTCCTAAAACGATGAAGGCTTGCGAGAAAAGAGAACATCGAAGCGATGCTTCCGTCTGCTCCGCGTAGGGCTGCACAAGAATAACCCAAACCCGCATAACCCGTCCGACCCAACCCTATGTTTGAACCCGCACCTAATGGGTAGGGTTGCGGAATTAAAATCTCAACCCCGATAGTACCCAACCCGGCCAAAGTTCATTTTACTATTATTATGCTACAACGTTTTCTTGGATAATTTCAATTTAAGACCAATGTGCTCTATCTAGGACTTTATGATATTAGAATAATAATTAAACATTTATCATTTTAACTAAGTGATTATTATATATTTACGTTTCCTTCTAAATGAACTTCCTTTACGGAAGGATGTTTTAATACTATTACCTAATGTTTGTGTTTATAAAAGATACGAGTACTTGTATTTGTTTGTGTGTTTTGGAAACAAGTTAATCGAGTTTTAAATTGGTTACATTAATTTCCCACATCAAAGATGCAATCCGAAGTGATTTTTTCCCCAATACCCGACCCTACCCGACCCGTTCATGCATGGTTTACCAACTTATTTTACGTAACGCGGGTTGGTTAATAGCCAACCCGAACAAATCGGGTAGGCACAAAAAATATAGCAAACCCAACCCGCCCGGTGTGCAGCCCTAGCTCCGCGCAAAGGCTGCGCTAAAAAACCTAAAACCCTACCATGAGGGACCGTCCACTTTTTCCAAATATTTTTTAGTATAAATGTTGACCTTTAATATGGTATTTGTGTGTTGGGCAATTCTAAATACAGCCTCCATTTTACGAGTCCGATTTTGTTCACCCCACTAAGGAGGGTGAACATCACCCTCACCCTTTAATGCATGCCATTTGGCATTACATTTCTTTTTTTCCTTAAATTTATTATAACTTTTTAATTTCTA